AGAAGGAGAGATAAAGCAGCAAAGTGCAAGTGCTCGAGAGTTGTATATTGTATTGACAGTACACAAAACAGAGTCATGGCAACAAGTTTTCCTTTTTTCTTAAACTGATACAGTAGTCTCTGCCTAAACGTATGGTGCTCAGGAGGGTCCTTAGCGTGTGCTTTACGGAGCGTGCGTTTACATAAACCTTTGCAAGGGGAGGAAATGACGCAGTCATCTCAATTCTTTATTACTTTAGTGAACTTCTGTGGAGGGAGGGGGTCATTTTGGCAGATAATGTGACGACACGTGACTGTTTTCTGAAGGATTCCCCATCTGGGGTTAAGAATATAAAGGCGTTGAATGGGGGGAGGAGAAAGACAGACTCAATGTAATGAATATATGCACTATAAACACCGGGAACAGATAGCCTAAGAGAAAACTTTTGGTGATTGTCATAGTCATAGAGACGACAGCTCAACCACGTGGCTTTCCAAGCGACCACCCCCGACCTTAAATTCATGCAGAAACATTTTCTACATTCAGAGAAATATTTCTTTTGTGATTCATTGAACAAGTATGTTATAAGTTCTTCGAGTGCAGTTGATTAGGCTTACTTGGCTAATCTTTAATCCCATAGAGGCCAGTCTAGTGTTTTACGGCATTTAGATCTACGCGTGCTGCTCATCAGGCTTAGATCTAACTAAACGTTACATGCAGTTACTCACACACTGAAACACCAGTCAGAAACCTTCTCTAAAAGATACATTTCCAGTGATCAATAAAAAAAATATTTCAGTCCCCCCAATCCCCCCAACCAACTTTTCACCAACCAGTCCAAGACCTATGTGTCAGTGGAAAGTTGGACGTGAAAACGCTGTCCATCACTCTCTTTGTTCAATGCTTGTCTTATGCAGGCTGTGCAGGTTGATGTGAACATTTCCCCTTGTCAAGCTTTACCTTTACCTGTGGGCTTGTGTCGCGGATCAGAGCCTGCATTTACAGGGAGTAACCGTGCATTTAAGTTGTACGGTCTAAATTATATAGCAAAAAACCCGTCAGATGACGAAAGCGTGCGTTTCAGCGGAGCATGCTTTCGTATGGTGGGCGTTTAGGCAGAGACTACTGATTTTGAAAACGTAAAAACTATTGAGTTCAAAAGCAATTTAAAGTTAACAAAACAGAAATCCCTTATTCTTGGATCTTCAGGTTTTTCTTCATAAATAAAAAAAACAAAAACAAGAGAAAGGTGATCGTGACTCAGAGATAAATTATCAGACCTTCTCCCAAAATGCCTAACTAGAGATGTCATTTCACTGAATATTTGATATGCACATGCAAATGACCTTTGTGTACTGGTTTCATAAAAAACTTTTAATTCACTGAGGTTACAAAATCCTTTAAAAAAGCTCATCATATAAATTTCAACATATTCTGTTCTATATCCTGAAAATCCACCACAAAACACAAAACCAGCTGTACTTATTTTGAAAACTCAAAACTAGAAAACCAACAGCCCTGGAAACTTGTTGATGTGTAAATCCCAATAAATACAAATCTATAATATTATAATGCTCAAATACAATACACAGAACTCACGAGAGCTAAAATGTGAGTAGGCATCAAGCCACTCCACAGACGAGGTATTTCCAAACTGGGGTACACGAATGTCCACTCCTTCGTTGTTTGAGGTTTTACGAGTGATGGGATTGTAAAGGAGTCTTAAAACACAAGAAGCAGAAAGAAAAGAACCTGATAATGATGGGTTTGTTGAAAGAACCAGTTAGAGCTGAAACAAAGCATTTTCAAAAGAGAAACAGGTTTATATCCATTCTCTCAACATTTAAAAGCTGGCTGAAAAGCCAATTTCAAATTACAATATACAGTAGTCTCCGCCTAAACGCATGGTGTTCGGGAGGGCTCTTCAGCATGCCTTAATACGGAGCGTGCGTTTACATTAACCTTTGCAAAGGAAGGAAGGGACGCAATCATTTCATTGCCTTGATATTCTAGTGACCCCCCTTTGGGGTGAGGGTCAATTTTTGCCGATAATGTGACGACACGTGACTGTTTTGTGAAGGATTCCCCGACTGCGGTTATGACTACAAAGGTGTTGAATGGGGGGGGGGGTAGAAAGACAGCCTCAATGTAAATTAATGTAATGAATATGCACTATAAAACGTCGGGAACAGCTAAGAGGAAACTGTTGGGGATAGCCATAGATCTAGCCATAGAGACGACGGCGCGGGCATGTGGCTTTCCAAGTTGGGTGTGAAAACGTCCATCACTCTCTTTGTTCCGCGTGAGGGGCACTCTCACCCAGTTTTCTTGGCTTATCTATGCAAGCTGAGCAGGTTGTAGTGAGCATAACCTGTCAGTGTGTTTCGCGGATATGAGCGTGCGTTTAGAGGGAGTGACCATGCTTTTGTACGTCTAAATTATATAGTAAAAAACCCGTCAGATGACGAAAGCGTGTGTTTGAGCGGAGCGTGCTTTTATATGGCATGCGTTTAGGCGGAGACTACTGTAATGAGTTTGACTGTGTATCACACAATAGGGAGAAGCCAGGTAGGTGACAGGGCAGGAAAAACCAACATCGGCACCCATGAGGGTGAAATATTGACTGAGAGAATGGAAATAAATCCAAGTTCATTTTATAGGCCCGAATGAATCATTTTCATAGAAACATAGCTGAACTAGACAGACACCTAGTATAGGTGAGAACTTAATAAACTTTGTCCCCCTGAGCACTCACTCGATGAAGAAATATGGGTCACTGGATTCGGATCAAGCCACTCAACAGCAGATGTTCCACCAAAGTCATGAGTTTTTAAATCCACACCAGGAGCATTATAGGTACTATGCTTATCTTTGTCATACCGTAACCTGAATAAAACCAACATCAGTTATCAATAAAAAGAGTCAATATTAAGCAGTGTATACACTATTCATAATATAAACACAGAAATGAAATTAGTTCTGATCTCATGAATAAAGCTCCAAGGAGTAAAAGAATTTTAAAGAAACATCTCATGATTTCATAAATGTCTGCTTCTTCTAACATACAGTACAAGGTCTAAAAGTTAGAATCTGAGCAGAACGTAAGGTTCAAAGTTAAAAGTCCTAAAATCCTAAAATGAAACTGAATATCTCAGGAGCAGTCACTGAGAACCAAACCAAACTTCAACTTTTTGCACTCAGCACCTCTTGATTTGGGGGATGCCGACCGTAGCTCTTTCTATGCATGCATAATAATAGTACATTTTTTTCTTTTGAAAAAAATTTACTTATTTCATAACAAATCAGCTTCCCTCAGATTATTTTGCAAACATCCTCCAGAACCAAGTCTGTAGGCCTGTATAAAGACTGACATTTAGCCACTAAAACAATCTTTATACTCTATGAAGGCATAAAATGTGGTCCCCAATATTGATATATATGGAAATTTAACATGACTAACAAATTCACAGAGAGCTAGATAATATCATAACCAAAATAACAGCAATGCAAAATGAAGATTAAAAACTACAACGCAGTACAGACCTCATATTGTCCACGAAGCAGTCGATTACTTCAGGCAGCAGCTCCTCCAAGTTCAGCCATATTGACTCGTATGAAGAGGTGTGTTTCTGACACAAGTAATGTGGAGCTGTGGTCTTGTTGAGTTTAGCTTCCAGCTGTGAGCCCCCATCTCCTGGCACTAGAAAGTATCAGAAAACGATGCGCTCATTTTAGACTAACATATATGTAAAAGAAAACATCCTGATACAGTTTGGGTCAATTTAGTCAGACACCACACTCGACATTCCTCCTTCAGACACACATATATGAGACCAATCAACCAACTCAATTTATTTGTTGGCGAATGCTGACAATCAGATAATAGATATTGATATGAGGGATTCTGAAGCAGGTGTGTCTATCATGGTTCACACTTTTTAAAAAAATGCAATTATATATATGTATATATGTGTGATTAAGTAGACAATAATGTCATAACACTCCTGAATGATTTCACAGTAACCAAAAGCAGCATGCATAGTAATTACGACAGCTGTTACCGCTGTCATTTTAATTCACTGAATCTCAACCTCTCTGTGGAGCAGGGAGATTTTAAGAACTCTTCAACTGTATGTTTCCATTGTCTGAGTTATTGTCATCACAGCTTTGATTGGCCGAAATGACACCTAGAGATAAAAACTATTAACTTTTAACACCATAATTGCCTTGATGAGAAACCAGAAAGAAACACCTCTAATCAAAAGAATATTTAAACTTTATATCCATCTGTATTCTGTGTTATTTGGGGTTTTTCCCCATGTTTTCAGGTAAACTTTATTTACATTTAATAAGGCTTAGGTGCAGTAGTAATATATTTCTCACGTTATAAACCATGTAAGACATATCAGGGGGGTTGCCCCTCTGAAACTGCCCCTTGAGTTTAAAAAGTCTGGATGTTTTCAGAAGAGGGTGGTTTGGAAGGAGGGAGGGGAGGAAATGTCTCACTGCCCACTATATTTTCACATGATTTGATGTTTTGAATCAGGGTTCAGATGTTCTTGAACCCCACTGATTTGTAACCGTTTTAGTGGCTATGTGTATTCAGCAGCCAAAAATAAGTAAGTTTGACCCCTTAAAGTATTGCACCCGAGTCTGAGTAACAGTAAAAATTTACTCAGGAAAACCTCGATCTAAATTAAATCCTTGTTAGTGATCCTTCCTCATTTATGAGTTGTCTGTGGAGGGGAAGACAGATTGAATTGAAGATACATGTGTTTGACACATATGTAATTATTTTGAGTAAACAGAGAATACACGAAAAAAACAACCCAGAGAAACTGAAGAAAATCAAGGTGAGTAACTGACGGATATAAAAGTTGACATCCACCATGGGCATTTTCTATTTTTATCTTGAATATTTTAGAATGTTCAAAGGGTTCATTAGGGGACACCAAATTCCGTGCAAATTTCCTTCTTGGTGCAGGATTGATCTCTGCTAAAATTAGACATTTGGATTCGATTGTCAGACAATTATGTTTAGAAGTCTTCTCTCCCATTATGAACAGTGCCTGGTACCGATAGAAAGGTGGATGGGGTGCATTTTGTCTGGTGTTGAGGCAAAGGAAAGCGACGTTGATGAACCTTTTCATTACCAAAAAAAAATTTGCTCTTATTCAGAAAAACGATCATGACTGTCCTATGTAACCAACATTAGCCAGAATACGCCACCCATCCCTCTTGTAATCACTTCCTTATCTATACATTCATGTTCAAATAACCAAACACTCACATGCACACAAACACAAACATAAAATTCACCCACCATACCGCCCAATGCAGTGTCACAAAGTCTCTCTTTCATCACACCCCAGTACACAAGATCCACTTACACATAACTTTAATTTCAAAGGAAGTTCTAGTGCTCTTACACACATTACTCACTACAGGTAATGTGTAATGATGAATCTTGATACCTAGCAGTGTGAGGGAGCAAGCCTGGTGGACTTGTGTAACGTGATACTCTCAATGAAGATGGGTAGGGATGTGTCTGTTTTCCATCACGCGAGCAGGCAATTTGAATTCTGAGATAAATGTGAGGAAAAATTTGACCCAATTTTTTAGATAAACTGTTCGACACATTGAGGAGGGCGTTACAGCAAATAATGCAGCCAGAAAAAAAAAGTATAGATACAGAGGTTCAATCAGTGAATGAGGAACTGTTCAAGATATCCTTGAATTCAAGTTTTGTGTGCTTAAGTTAAATCTATGCTCCACTTTAGAAAGATACTGTTTGCGTAGTTTGAGGTCAAGGATATCTTCCCCTAGAAGCCCTCTAAAACTGAAGTGGAGCGTGAAAGGATTAACAAGAGCATGAAACAAGGATGTACTTTAGATGGGATATTCCTGCTCTAGTCCCAAGAATTACTATTAATATTATTATCCTACAATCCTTCTCCTACAGCTATAACCCAAGCCATAAAAGTTACTATTGATATTTCATTACTCTTCTTGGGGCCAGAACCGAATATATATGCCATGCTGGGCAGGGCCAAGGCCAGCCAAGGGACAAGGAACCAAGTAAGGCTTACACAGCTGAGGAAATTCCATTGAAAGTGGAACTTAAGTTGCTGACCAAATCCTGGTCTGACCTCCCGCGCAAAGGTATAAAATCAGTGCCAGTCGGCCACTCCCCTACTTAACAACCCTGACGATAGCAATGCCTTGATTCTGATCATTTTTGTATCACTTCCCCCCCCCCCCCCCCCCCCCCCGACGTATCCGTTCCCCATCTGATAAAACTAGAAACAAATTTAACATCTCATTTTAAAGGATTACTTTCAGACCAACAAGACGATCCCACTACATTTGCCCCTGAAATCAAACCAGTTTTATGGCATTTATCCATTTTTTAGGGCAAGCGTTTTATGTCTTGAAATTTAAACCTTTTATTATATTTCATTTGAAAATTGTTATAATCTCAAAAACCAAGCCCATGATTTTCAAAATATTTGCATCTCTGGAGACAGCAATGCTTGAATTGCGTAAACAAGTTTAGTTTGCGCGAAGTTAATGTGTGATTTTATACGATTAAAAAAACCCCAGTACCTCCTGTGATTTGCTTCGACGGGAAATTTCATTTTACTTCCCGCGACAGAGAAGTTTTTAGAAAAATCAAGCGCAACAGACGGCACAAAAAATCGGGACACATGCGAGCGAAATCAGGAAAATCGGGATGCTTGAGATTTGAGGCAAAAAATCGGGATGAGTAGCCAGGTCTGTTGAGGTAATGTTACTGCAGGGGTAAACTCAAGGCACGACACCGATGTGAACGACCAGAATGCGGGCGGAGCTTCTTTGCTGAAGCAAGCCCGTGTTGTCGGAAAGTGCGCGCAGCTGATAAGTAGGTCGACAGCTTCTGGCATGAATTCACAAAAGGTGACTGTCGTGCCGTGTGTATGTGTGTCAAATCATTGACTCTGCTTTGGCATGGAGAAGGGGGGAAATGATGCTCACCAGACGCACATCACCTATGTTTTAAAGCGTATGCAAACTCCTGAAATGAAATCTTTTTAAAGAGTAATACTCACGCACCACCAAAACTTTAAGGGGGTAATCTGCAGGTTTAATGCGTAATGTACGAACATCTGTGCGTAATGGGGAGCCCTGGATAACTCTAAATCTAGTTCTCATTCTGGTTTTACGTAAAATCCCCCAACGACAGTTATATTATATTATGTATCCTAGACCTAACCGCCTTACACTCATACATGATAACTCACTTAGAAGCTGAGTCTGAATAAATAAAACATTTTTTTGGACCCGAGTCTGAATAGATCTAGAGACTCAAGTCCCAATAGAGATAAAAAATCTATTTGGACTCGAGCTGGCCATTTATAGGAGAATCTGAGACCCATGCACAAAGAGTAGAAGTAGAATGACAAGCTGATTCAGCTGGAAACTAGAATCTAGAAGACATAATGTAATCTAGATCTAGATATCTTATCTAGGCCTAGATCTAATTAATAATACAAAGTGTGACTATTTCTCTGCACGCTCGGGAAAATAAAATTGAACTCTTTTTCTCTGAAAGGTTTCTGATCTCGAGATTTTTTGGTTATTTGCGAGGTTTAGGTGTCATCCTTTCATTCTGCCATTCTGCGAAGACTGGGAGGAAGCATTTTTTGCACCGAATTCAATTTCTAGAGCAAGAGATTTTTAAAAGTCTGAATATTCAGACACTTAAGTTGTGGTTGGGGCAAGTTCCCAGACTATACTTAATTTGAAAATGCCCTCAAAAGGTACTGCGAGAAAACAAGACTGATCGACCTTGGCAGTAATCTATTTTTTTAAAAATCCTTCATGTCAATAAAAATTATAATCCCCCCAAGCCTCCCCCCCCCCACTTCACACCTTACACACACACACACTGACACACACAAGGCACACTCACACACACGGGCCACTCCATTCGCTTATCAACAAATCTCGAGATCGAAAACTGTTCGAAGAAATAAAGTTGAAAGTTTATTTTCCCGAACGTTCGGAGAAATAGAGCCAACCTTTAAATAATAATATTCAATCTAGAAAACTAGATTGATTAGATGCTAAATCTAAATTCTAGAATCTAGAGCTAGTCTAGCTTGTATCTCTAATTTAATTAAGTCTAGATTTAATATCTAGACTCTAGATCTAGATATATTTAGAATTTAGTTTTAGATCTACTGTTCGGCGCTGAGAACGTAGTTGGCACGCTACGTTCACGGAGCCCTGAATGCAGTTTGCAGGCGCTGTTGAGGCTACGTTCACAGCACTCAAACTTTGTTTGTTTAGACGGAGCATCCACTGCCAGTTTTAAGTAAGCCGGTTTTAGTCAGTGACGACAGTGGCGTTTATTTAATGGAACTGGTTATAGCCTAGATCTATATAAACTATATTTTGGCTTTGGCCTGCATCAAGCGTTCCATTGGGGTGAGAATAGCGCAGGCGAGCCTTTTGGATATTCTCACCCAGTAAGCGTTCACCGTGATAGCCTAGCAAAGGCCAACCAGTGTAGCGTTCACCGTGAGCGACAGCGATAACAGGTAGAATTCTGTGCCGTGAACAAACGTTCCAGCGCTCTTGAAAGCATGCAATTAAGGTCTGTGGGCAGAGAGAAAGAAAGAGAGAGAGAGAGAG